AGAATTAGTATATGATAATGCTATGCTTATACAGTCCCTCATTTATTTTGGATTCTGATTATACCCCGAAGATCCCTGTTAGAGCTGTGATCCCTACTGTGCAAAGTGCTGCTCGAGAAGACATAAAGTCAGCGAGATACAGAAGCCCTAGCTGAAGGATTACAGATGATTTGTGGACAAAACAAAGCAATGAACTTCAGATATAGTGGCAGGAAACATGGGAAAGAAAAATAAAGTAGAGCTCCAGCAGTGAAATCCTGGCTCTTTTCAAGTCAGTGGAGACTGTGCTCTAGAACGAAACGAAAATTTCCCCTTTCCTGTTCTTTTTTTTTCCCCCATGTGGAGGCCTGCCCACAGGGAATGGGTTGTTCTCCCTCCACACCTGCGCCCGACGCAAAGGACAAACGTTGGGGCATCGCTGGGGACTTTTTGACTGAGGATGGGTTTGGGAGGGGAGCGGTCACGGTGGAAGGGGAGAGAACAAGTTGGTGGAGAAGGCACTGGAAAGGGCAGGCAGACGAAAGGTTACGCATCGGCAGAGCCAGCGGCTGGAAGAAATTGTAGCTCCGTGCTTGGCAGAAAGCGGGACAGCCACTGAAGAACACCCAAAAAAATGTCCTTGATGTTTCAAAGCTCGAGTTCACAACTGCAGGTTGAAAGGAGAAGCTGCTCTTCTGACAGGTACATTACCAGGAAGGCCAAGTTGTGATGCCAAAACGTCTCGTGTTCCCACCCAAAGGATAACTCATCCAAAGCCCTGGCAGGCAAATGGAGGTATTTTAAAGTCGGTGGCTAGAAAATTTCTGCCATTGACTTTGAGAAGGATGGCATCGTGCTACCAAAACCCATGTCACCAGGACTCACTCTCCCACAGGGACAGGGAGCAGCACCAGCCTGTACGGTCTAAAATGAAGAGAATGCTTCAAGATGCCAGCTTTGACAACCTCTTGTGAGCCGGTCATTCATTTCCCAGCAATTACATTTTGCTACATCCTCATACAGGTCCATAGAAGGTGGTTATTCCGGATATGCCTATATTGGGTGAGGAGGGATGTAGGGAGTTCACAAGTGATTACGGACATTTTAAACTGACAATCTAATCCTTTTCAGACACCTCCTTACTGTGGCTACAAACGTACGTCAAGCCACGCCGCAAACTGCATTTCTCAAATGCGGGTAGGCGTGTGCTTTTCTCTGAGTAACTTATGCAGGAGAGTAAAAACTAATCAGCACTTAGGAAAACTGTTGTCTCACTGACATTTGCACGATTTCTCCACAAGCTGCCAATGAACATCCATCACGCTGGCGGTACACTGTCTCCTTAAGTTTACATAAGCTGCTGTCTGGGAACATTCATTTAAAACACAACCGTGTGTACTTGCAATAACCGAGACCGCTCTCTGAGTTGTTATTTGCTTGTTTTCTCTCTCTGGGAAGAAAGGGGAGGGTTAACAACCTCCCTGAGAGATGTCTGCTAGTACGGGCAAGCGCAGAGCGCTTGGGACTTGGACCTTAACCTCCAGGACTGAAATCAAAACACGGCTGATGCGTGGGAGAAAAAGCAAGCTGCTAAGTGACCCCGAGAGTCCCTGCCAGATTCCTCTGGAGAAAACGGAGAGACTGGATGCCTGAGACTTGCAGCATCCTTCACACCTTCCCTGCAGCCACCACAGCTGCCCATCACCCCACGTCCGCCTCTGAGAGGGACCGGAGAGGCCAGATTCGAGGCTGACAAGGACAGAAGTGGAAATAAGGTTGGGAAAGAGACAGATGGATCCTGGTAAAAGCCACCAGACCTCCCCTTTCTCCCGCGTACTGCTCCATAGGAGTCAAAATCCTGAGCGCCAGGCAGCAATCAATTTGAGTCGGCTCTTGACTCACATTAGAGAGACCGCACCGACCTTTCCTGCGCGGGGCTTCCCGGTGGAACTGCAGCCTCGGCCGAAGCGGGGAGTAAGTCCCAGGAAAGCGAGGGGATGCGGCAGGCGTGGGCAGCTGGGGCTCGAAACCCACAAAGATCTCCCAGGACTCGTAACAGAGCTATGAAGATGCTACATGGGGTTACTAAACCATCTGTCAGGGACACAAGGTTTTACAAAGGATACAAGAAAAACTACTAATGGGTTTAGATTTACAATTGAGTTTCAGTTCAGCATTTCATTTGTACGTGTTAGCAATTTAGGGGCACAAGCATAAACATTTGGACAGCTGTCTGAGCTAGATGGTTGTCATGTTTATATTTTGTGCTTACGATTGTTATGAGTCAAAAAAATCATAGCTCACTAGAAGAAAGGTAAATATTCAAGAAACGGGTCTTTATAACTACTCCTTTACCCTGAGAGAGTCACACCTACTGTCAGTGGTAAGAAAAAAAAAAGACTAAATCGCATTTGGATTTCTCTCACCCCAAAGCTAAACAGAAACGTAGAAACAAGACAGGAAAATTCTTCCCAATGGAAACCTCTCACAGATTTTGATATCCTAGAGAAAAAGAAATTCCCAGAGAAAAACAAATCCTAAGTTGTGAAAGATCAGGCAGTTGAAATTTCTATGAGATGAGTGAGTCCTGGTAATACTACCAGAGCAAGTACGAACGTTTGTGTGCACACACGCAGACACATGCTTGCAAAAGAGTTTTAAATGGAGGCTAATTTCAGCTGTAACCCAGCACTGAGGAGCACTTCTACAGATGACGATTTGGAACCTACCCATTAGCAAGAGTAAATCAAGTGGATAAAAGGGTTACGTGCCCACTTAAAACAGTGCCTTCGTTTCCACTGAAAGCAGTCTGGTTTTGAATCACAACGACTGGAGGAAGCCTCTCCTCTTTGCCCAAGACAGACTTCCACGTGCGGGGAATGGACTTGAGAAAGTTTGCAGACCTTATAAATGCAACAGGATGAGGGAAGAGCAGAGCTCAGAGCGTACGAAACCTATGGACTGCTCCGAATTTCTGCTGTGGAGATAGCAGATAAAATCTTTATTAGGTTGAAGTAAATAGTAAAATGCTTGGATGCTTCAATGAAGTCAAGATTTCACTTCATCGCAGCAGTTTGCTGCATTCTGAAGTTCTGTCTTTCCTATAGGATTTATAAACTTACAGTTCATGGGTGCTCTTTTTTTTCCCCACCCAAAACACCCCTGGAAGTGCACAGTAATATCCTATAGCCTGAATCTTTTCCACTACTTAGAGGAAAAAAAGTTTCACTATTTATTCTAGGTAAACACATAGATTTCAAAAACAATTGTTTCCTGCCCTGTTCCACAAGGTTTTGAGCAAAACACAAAGTCCAGGTCACAAGCTCGACTGTCAAGTAAATTAAGCCTGAGGGATCCCAGTCCTGGACCGAAGGGTACCCTGTGCGAGGGCGGCGTGCCACCACCTACTTTGTGTTTCTCAGAGGATCCTGGAACTCTGCTTTCCACACAAGGCCCCGCAGTTTTTGAGCACAGCAAACAATGAACCAGATCACTCTAACTCCCTCCAATAGCCTTCTCCCCTAACGTCTGTTTCTTTATCCTTTAATCCGTTATCAGGGTGCAATTATTTCTTTCAGGGAAAGTGATTAGTACTTTTGCATTTCATTCACATGCAAAAGACACTTTAATGAGACCATCCATCTCATTATTCTCCCACTGGAATCTCTCCAAAAAGAGTCCTTGCACCTTTCACGTAAGAACCTGACTGTGTGGCAAAATGACGCCTAGCTGGGACGCTTCATCACCTGACAACATGGCAGTCAACATGGGACCACTGAAGCATGCTTGTGGGATGAAGTTGGGTTAGGCTTTCTTCTGGCAAGAAGAAACTGCTATTGAAGCAGTTCACAAAATCAGCATCTTCACATTCCTCAGGAAAGCAAAGCAGAGAAGAGGTTGATCGGGAGGGCCCTCGAGATGTTCCTCATGTATTCGTTTTGCCTTGTGACCATGCCATTAAACTGCCTTGCCCATACTGAGTGACTGTGGTTACAGACGGGCAGAAAAAGATGAAGATAAACCACACGTGATAGAAGAAAGGAACTAAATACTACCTTCACTGAAAAATGACAGAATCTGGGAAAAAGGAAATTGTGATTTATGTTACTGAGAACCTGTGAAGTACACAGACCTATATGGAAGTATTTTCATTGTCAGAAAAGAAAATAAATTGGCAAGTGTATAATGGGATCCGGCATACAGCCACGAATAGGCTGTTGTTAATTAAGGAGCTATGAATTTTAAAGCCACATGACCTGGGAGAACAAAGTCATGTATACCTATTACCTTTGCAGACCCTGTTCTTCATTGTGAAATGCTATTTTCCTGAGCAGAATTGAAAACATGCAATCAAACTCATTAGAATGAGAGATGCAGGTTGTGTAAAGGGTAGTGGTTTTTGAAAATCTGGTCTTATTTTTCAGATACATTCATGAAGGATTTCTTTACAGCATTCCTAATAGGAACTCAACCATTACAATTAAACTCCATATTTCTCATTACTTGAGATGGTCATCTGCCTAGAAATTCATCTTCTGCCATTCTAGACAGCCTTACCACAGTTGAAATGAAAATATTAAATACAGCTTGCAATCTGCTTGCGTTCTCATACAGTTATGAGTAACAACTCTCAGTACCATGCCATCAATTTTTGCTATCCAAATTGGAAAAGGGGTTCTCAAAAAGCACTCGGTGTTGTTTACAACCATTTTTACAGACATCATTGGTAGTCCAACCTGATTCATGCTATGAGTAAAGAAGGAGTTTGTCCAGAGTAGCAGATTCAGAGGGCTGGCATTTTACACGGGGACTTCTGACCGACCACTGGCCCTCACTTGGTGCACGTGAGGGAGGAGGTGGCAGCTTTCACATTAGCCAGACCTGCATCAAAGCTCAAAGGGTCTTCAGCTTTAGCGCCAATTAACAGCAGTGAGGAAATACCAAGTGCCTTTGAGAGTCCCCACAAGAAATACAATTTCCATAGCACATTATTACTAAATACTGAAGAGAGGGTTTCATACCTTAAATTCCTCCAAGATTTTGTAATTTTTCCCGTGATATTCACAAAAGTTTTTCACTTCTTTGCATTCTGGACAGCATCCATTGTGTTCCACTTTTGTGCACTTTGGATGGATTTTAGGGCATTCTGGTTGATCGCAAACAGGTCCATCCTCAGTACAGACACAGGGACAGTTGGAATGTCCCGGGAAAAAACGTTCTCCCAGTTTGTACACAAAGCCACTGTCATCCACACAGCCCTTCCCTCGGTAGTCATCAAAGATCAGATTGTCATTGCTGGAGGTCTGGTCCCCTTCATCGGCAGGGTAGTCTTCATGATTGATGGCAGCTGGAGTGACCAAAGCAGGGATTACAAGCAGAAGTATCCAGGCTTCGTGGATACGAAGAGCCATCCCCCTCCTCAGCTTCTCCATGGGATCTCAATGCCAGATAGAAACAGCTGCTTCCATAAGGAGACCAGTGTTGTGGTCTGAAAACAAATATTTTTAAGTAAGAACAAGCTCAAAATTCTAAGGAATACTGACATAACAAAGGCCATACTTTCAACCAGCACCCCAGAATAAATCAATGCTTTCAAACTGCACAGATAACTGTCGCCGTTTCATTTGAATTAAGCCTCTTCTCAATTATTGTTACAGAGAATAAAGCATATGCAATACATAAATTAGACACACAGCCTGTAAGCATATGCCCACAAACCAGGTGGCTCACAGATTCATCTAATTTTTACTTTCCTCATTCGTGCAGTTGAGTTTTCTGATACACCAGAAGTTAAACTAGCTGCCCGAAATCACACGGTGATGGGCAGCTCAGAGGGGCTTGAACCCAAGTTTAAGCGTGCTCTTAACCTCTTGCTGTAGCCACTGTCCCTCCGTGCTACGTACAGTGCACAGCCCAACTTCATTAAACTGAGGTGGGAAACAGGAGTTGAAAAATGACAGAAGCATAACCTGTAGGCAGATCTGCGTACCATATGAAAGGTGGTGCTGGGTTATACTTGGTCTGCGAGAGGTGGAATAGTACAGAATTTTTTATATAGCATTTCTGAAGAGGAAGAGGGACTACCTGGGCTATCAACACAGCCCAGCCTGCGGCAGGTCCGTATAATCCCGACAGAAGCAAAGATGTAATTCATCTTCTCCGTTATTCAGCATTTCAGTAATTCCCAGAGAAAAATGCAGCGAGCAGGATGTTAAATGCCCGTGTAATGCACAGAACCTCTGAAATGGGTTTGCCTTATTAAGCTGGAGCCTTTCTAAAAGTTTGGGAGCGATGCAGCACGGCCCGACCTTCGGAGAGCTCCGCTTAGGTGGTGGAGCAGAGGACTGCCCCAGAGAGGGAGAGGAGCTCCACACTGCCCCAGGAGAGCCAGCTCCGGGCCAAGGCTCTGTGTGTGTGTGTGTGTGTGTGTGTGCGCCTTGGGTGTGCTATTGGCCGCCGGCGGTGCCACATCACTGCCACCAGCACGCTGTCCTGCCTGCGCACCAGCCAACAGGCAGTGCGAGCCCAGCAGCAAAATGGTTTCTGACCTCTCTTAAGAGAACTGGGCAAAGTATTACAGGAAACTTTTACAGGAGATGAAATGTTAGCATTGTAGGGGTTGAGGAACGATGGAGATAGTTGCTGGCACACACCAAAACCAGACTGTTTGTGTGTACGTGTCGTTCCTTCTCTTCCTCTGCTCCCACAGTGTGCACACACAGATACACATAGTATATACAAACATGCATTAACTTACACCAGCAAACACATAACCCTCCCCCTTCTGGGTGGTATTTTTTATGTATCAGGATTTTTGGTGGATTGCAGATGTTCAGCAATTAATTCTCCCTTAATTGAAGCAAAAAAGTAGCAGCAGGAGCAGAAAGCTTTAATCCTAGAGAAACAGCTAAGGGATCCTGTTGACAAAGCAGTTTTTCCAAAGCCACAACAGAGGGAGACACCGGATATTACACAAGCTTTATCAAATTCAAAAGATATCTTCTTAATTGAAGTACTAGCTACGGTTCCATCACAAGGATATGCACCCTGTTACTACTATCAGCAATACCTATTGTAACATGTTGTTTGGAAATAAAGTGATTCACGCAGATACGGCTCCTTTACGTATCTCCAGAGCAGAGAATCTTGCCCACCTAAATGCTACAGGTAGGTTGCAACATTGCAGATTAGTGGGCATTTGGGGGGGGGGGGGGAAGCAGAAGCAAATTAAGTAATTCACGTCTGAGGAAATGTGAAACAGTTGAGAGAATTTGGTGAAGCTTGATGAGGAAGCTCTCCAAATTATTTTAAAAAAAAAAAAAAGTTCTCCAAAGATCATAAATAAGACCACTGTATTTTGCTACAGCATCGGAGATGTCCCACAGCAACTCGCCAGCACTGGGCTCAGCGGCGATCCTGGAAATCAGACCGACCGCAGACGTCTTGCACGGACAGATTTCAACAAGTAAATAAATACTGCTCAGCTCAGAATTAGTTTACAGCTGAACTTTCTCATCATTTCTCCTCATGAGAGAGGCCAGGATCGTAGGTAAGTGAGTCTCCGAGTAAAACGTTTCCACCCGCCTTCCCTCACCCCGAGTGAATAATTTACACTTACCTAATCAGGCTCGATCTGAAAGCTGAAAGGGGTCACAGGCCACCATGGACTAAATGGTTAGAACAGATTAGTGAAAGCAGTTCCTCCTAATCACATTTTCAGCGTTGACTCACGGACAATCCCTTTTCCTCCACCTCCCATGGCAAAACACGGGCAAGCGGCAGGCCAGCAACCACAACATGAGCATGAAGCTTTAACCCGGTGCTGAGGATTC